TTCTTTACAATAAATCAAAAATTAGCCGGGCGTGGTAGCGCGTGCCTGTAGTTCCAGCTACTTGGAAGGCTTAGGTGGAAGGATCGCCAGAGCCCAGTAGGTCGAGGCTGCGGTGGCCGGGAGCAGCCTCTGCACTCCAGTCTGGGTGGTGGAGTCAGACTCCAACTCAAAAAAAGAAAAAATAAAATTATTTTTAGAAATACAATTTGAGGGGGGAAAAGGTCTTGAAATATGTAATGCCATATCTTTATAGAATTTTTATGAGTAATTTATTCTTGAGGATTTACTTATCTAATCTATAACTAATTAAAAGCAAAAAACAAAATAATATATCATAGGTAAAATAAAAATTTACCCTTTTCTTTTTAATTGCAGAGATGAGGCCTCGCTATGTTGCCAAGACTGCTCTTGAACTCCTGGGCTCAAGCAATCCTCCCACTTCAGCTTCCCAAAGTGCTGGGATTACAGGCATGAGCCACTGCCCCTGGCCATATTTACACTTCTTGAGCAAGAATGTCTTCATGCTTACATATGTACATGTGGCCACTGATTTCAAGACATAATAAGAGGCATGTGATTGAGAGAAAGTAAATTAGAAATTTTATTTTATTCAGTTAATTACAAAGGCAACAAAACCACATCAGAGAAAATCTGGGAAGCGTATAGGAGAGAAAACGACGATAATGCCTCTCCTTAAACAACCATCATGATCATTTGTTTGTATTGTCTGTCAATTCCTTTTCCTCTGGAATGTTTTACATAATCATTAATGGAGACAATCTATAATTTTGTGTCTATCTTTTCCATCTATGTTATAGCATAAGCACTTTTCTTTTAAAATTTGTATTATTGGTCAGGCGCGGTGGCTCACACCTATAATCCCAGCACTTTGGGAGGTCAAGGTGAGAGGCCTGCCTGAGCCCAGAAGTTCAAGACCAGCCTAGGCAACTTGGTGAGACCTCATCTCTACAAAAAATAAAAATAAAACATTAGTCAGGCTACTTGGAAGGCTGAGGCAGAAGGATCACCTGGGCCCAGCAGGTCGAGGCTGTGGTGGCCACGAGCATGCCACTGCACTCCAGCCTAGGCGACAGAATGAGACTCCAATTCAAAAAATAAAATAAAATAAAATTTGTATCATTAGTATTTGTGTTGTTTTTATTGTGGCTGTTTGAGCAGAGGGTATGAGTGGTCCTCCCCAGTCCCAGTCGATGTTAACAATCTCTGGTACTCTCTCATTCTTTTTTCTGTCCTCATATAATCACACACAAGCGTATATATACTGAATATACATATATGAAGTGGGGCTGTCATTGTAGACTCATGCTATATCTTTCTGGATCTTACTCTCAATACATCGTGGTAATCTCTCCAAGTTAATCAGTATATAACTAAGGAATTATTTTTATCGACTGCATAATATTCTACAGTACAAATGAACTGTGTTAATCATTCCTCTACTGATGGACGTTCCTTTTATTGCCATTATTGTGCCACTGTAAACAATGCCACAACAAACATCTTGGTACACAGAGCCGTACATATTAGTGTTTTTATTTATGTGGGGTTTGCATAGATGTGGCTAGGTTGCTTTCCAAAAAGGCTATAGATTGCTCATTTTCCCCAGGAATGTTGCATGCATCCCTTTTTTCCTGCACCCTAGTTAATAGTGGATGGTAACACTTCTAGTTATTGTCAGTCGG